CATTGGAGACCATGAGGATGAATTGTTAACTGAGGATGATAAGAAAGCCATTGACATTCCATTTTTTAGCCTGGAAACCATATTGGCAGCAACAGATAATTTCTCAGATGCAAACAAGCTCGGACAAGGGGGATTTGGCCCGGTTCATAAGGTTGTTTAGAGCCTACTTTCGACTATCTTATTTCAAGGATTAGGTGCCTTGTAATGTAACAGTTGTAGACTTGCACAGGGTATTTTTCCTGGAGGGCAAGAAATCGCTGTGAAAAGGTTGTTAAGCCAGGGAGGGCAAGGTGTGAATGAATTCAAGAACGAGATTGTGTTGATTGCCAAGCTTCAACACCGCAATCTAGTGAAACTTGTAGGCTATTGCATCACAACAAATGAAAAGATTTTGTTGTATGAATACATGCCAAACAGAAGCTTAGATGCCATCATATTTGGTTAGTCGTCTATGAACGTAACTGATCATCATCTTCTTTCTGCAAACCTGTGGTTAAAACCTTCTTAAGTCTTTTTTGTTTGCAAGATTCCAAACTCGCTGATATACTGGATTGGAAAATGAGGTTCAACATCATATTGGGCATTGCTAGAGGTCTTCTTTATCTCCACCAAGATTCAAGGTTGAGGGTCATTCATAGAGATCTTAAAGCTAGCAATATTTTATTAGATCAAGAGATGAACCCAAAGATTTCAGATTTTGGACTGGCAAGAATTGTTGAAGGCAAAAGCATAGAAGCCAATACAAACAAAGTTGTTGGAACCTTGTAAGTTTATATATGATAATCCTTACTACATTTCCATACATAAGCATCATTAATGTGTGGTACGGTGAATTCAAGGAATCTATTATCTTAATTATGCAGGCACTAATTTCATACTTTCTTTTGTTTTGCGCAAGTGGATATATGCCTCCGGAATATGCACTGGAGGGGCTCTTCTCAATCAAATCTGATGTTTTTAGTTTTGGTGTGGTTGTACTTGAGATCATTAGTGGAAGAAAAAACACATCATTTTTCCAGTCTCAAGAATCCTTGAACCTCTTAGGCCATGTGAGCATACACATTCTGCTGCAAACAAATCTTCACTAGCTAGTGCTGATTCTTTATTGTCGTCTCAGGCATGGAAGTTTTGGATGGAAGAGAAGTACTCTCATCTTGCAACCAAAGTGAAGTGTTGAAATGCATAAATATGGGGCTGCTGTGCGTGCAAGAAGATCCAAACGATCGACCAACAATGTCCAATGTTGTTATAATGCTTGTGACTGAAAGCATGAGTCTTCCTCGGCCCAAGCAGCCAGCTTTTGTAGCAAGGAGGCGTGTCTCCGACTCGCAGTATTCTTCTTCGTCCAACAATGAATTCACTGCTTCAGTGGTGGAAGGTCGATAGTGATATGAGACTCGATCCCGAGTCACGGGTGGAATTCCATAATTTTGATGTTTAAGGGTTCTAGGTTAATACGGATCGGAATAGCCTACTATACTACCAACTTAAGACACAATTATTAATTCATTTCAGGTACACAATTCATAGTTTTAAGTTATAGAATTTCATAACACAAGGCATAAAAACTCATAATATTAGACCGTATACATGCATCAGGATCCACAGTGCATTGTGAACTAATTCATGATATAAGAATTGATATATCCCACCTGCCATTAATTTTATGGACTCATGCATGGGGAAGTTGGTCCTCATAGGAACCTCACCCTATATGTGTGTACCCAAGTTGGTTACCGGAACCTTAATAATCACAAATTTTTAGAGCTATTTATTTATTTCTTGATTTATGTTGGTTAAATATGGTCCACTCATGATCTCCCGCGCTTTGCTCTGAATCCAAGATTAGAACTTGACAGGAAATATCCAAAGAATAGAGACAAAAAAGAAAAGTACAAGTCGGATAATTCCAACACTAACTTACAGACTAGACAACACTAGTCTGTAAGTTAGTGTTGACTTCATTCGGGATCAAAGACTTATTATCATCATATATTCATATCCCATGCTCTCAACAAACATTCAATCATTAATCTGCAACTATGCAGTACATCTGCAAAGTTTCGGCCATCCAGTTTCTGCACTTTCATTGGCAATATTAATAGACGACTTAATGTGATAATTTGTTTTTAAAAAATACACTTTTTTAATCCTAAACTACTTTTTTCTTTTTTTTTTCTATTTTCTTTCTATTCCATTACTGTAGGTCAATTGATGGGCCGACAATATTTTATTGAGAGTATACGTACTGTTGAGAAAGAATTACTATCAATTATGGTAGATGTGGACAGTTATCGGCATCTTGCAACTTGGACATTTATTATGGAACGAAGTTTACGGACACATACACATGTTATATAGACACAGAAATTCATAATATAAACACAGTTACTAATTTATTTTAAGTATAAAATTTGAATTTTATAACACAAGACATAAAAACCTTGATACATATATAAGAGTCACCTCTACTAAGGCTCGAACATACAACATCCTATAACAACATGGTGCCACCAGACCACAAGGTTCTTGACAGAATCAATAAAAATGAGTTTATTACCGAAATAGTCCCTCGACTATTGCGAAATTACCAATTTAGTCCTCGACAATTTTTCTTACCTAATTAAGTCCTCCAACTTTGAAAATGTTAACCATTTTGGTCCTCTGTTAGATTAGGTGTTAGAAGTCCGTTAAATTGGAGGGTATTGACGGTATTTCACATGAGAAGATTCATTTTCAATTAATTAACTTAAATGATTAATGAACGGAAAATATTACCCAAAATCAAGCAAAAAGAAAAAGAGATCGGGCAGTCTCAACTCAGACGCGTCGCCGCCGACGACACACGGAGGAGGCCGGAAGGAGAAGGTGCATGAGTAAAGAGGGATGAACGGAGCCTCGGACGGGGTGACACTGGAAGATCGTGAGTTGTAGAAGAAAAATGGTGGATTTCACAGGGAAAGAAACTGGGACCAGTTCCATAGCCCAAGAAATTCCCAGCAGTAAGTTTCTGAAAAAAAGTCGCCAAAGTCTGCAAGGATTTTGTCCAAGTCCGAGGTGATACTCATTAGAGTCTGAATCTATCACCTGTAACACATTCCTTCTTGGACTTTTCTCCCCATGCAACATCACCCACCATCCATTGAAACTAAAACTCATTATAAGAGCCATGCATAAAGTCCCAAATGATTGATCCTAAAGTTTGCAACCATTTAACCCCAATAACCATCCCATACCCATCTAGGGGAATTACGCGAAAACTAACTCAAAAACTGAGAGACCCTTTGTGTAGTTATACACCTTCATAGACACCCAGGCCATTCCTAGAATAATTTCTCTGTTGGCAACTGTAACTCGCATCCTAGAACATTTTCGAATAGGCATATTTAGGAGTTGGGGGGTTTTTTTATCAATGAAATTATGGGTTACGTTCTTCCTGAATCAACAAGTATTAATAGTGGGGGCGCGCTGAGCAATCTCCATGTGCATCTGCATGGTCTTCTTGCCTGGTAGGGGAAGTGGGAGAGCTGTCTGAGATATTTCAGTGGAAAGGTGAGGTACCAAGAGGCCTTCCTGGATGGGAAGAGGAAGAGAAGCAGCACTTGGGTGAAGAGCTCAAGCCAAGTCCGCCTCCGGCCACCACCATCTGTTGCCCCACCGCCACGACTGCAGCTCCGGCAAGGTCTACGTCTATGAGACTCCGCGGATGTTCAACTACGAGCTCGTAGAGAATTGCAACGAGCTGGAACCTTGGAAGGCAACCAGATGCAAGGTGGTCGCTAATGGCGAATTTGGGCTACCGGCGAAAGGGTTGGAGAGCGTGATTCCCGAGAATCTCCTCCTGGTTTGGTACTGGACGGATATGTACTACGCGGAGCTGATTTACCACGAGCGAATGTTGAATCACCAGTGTAGAACCATTGATCCGGAGGAGGCCGCCGGATTCTTCATCCCCTTTTACGCCGGAGTTCAACAGAGTTCACCGAATTCTTCATCCCCTTTTCTTCATCACCAGTGTTGGCAAGCTTTTGTTCACGGAGTTCAAATATACTTAATTACCAAGATCGAGGCCTTTACTGCAATATGTTCCCGTTCGATGACCATTCGAAGGATTCTCCGGAGGGAGGATTCTCAGGAGGTTTACGGTGAAGAAGTGGAAAGACGAAGAAGAAAGGCTTTAAGAAATAAAATGTGTGAAATTACTTTTTTGTCCTTAAATTTAACAGCTTATGGATGAAAGTTTAACGGAGGACCAAAATGGTTAACATTTTAAAAGTCAGAGGACTTAATTGGGTAAGAAAAATTTTCAATGACCAAACTGGTAATTTTACAATAGTCGAGTGACCATTTTGATAATAAACTCAATAAAAATTATATTTTCACTTAAAAGTGTTATTTGTTTTAAAAAATAAAAAGTATTAGTAAAAATATATTTTTAATGTAATTTTTAAATATATAAATTTATACATTAATATTAGGAGTTTAATGAATGAGATTGATTTTCATGGACTTAATTGGAACCTCATAAGTTTAACCGGTTAAAAAATAATTAATCGGAATTCTTTAGTTCGGTTGATTGACCGAAGTTTGCACATCCTTAGTTGTACGATGAGATTCCTACATCTTAACAGAAGTAGAAAGTAGGAAGTAGGGAGTAGGGAAAATTGCAAACCACACAACCATCCACCTTGCGGTAAATTAGATTAGAACTTGATGGTGGCAACCCAATCGATTTCATTGAACAATTGACTTGATAATCACAAATTTTATGTTTGACTCTTTTCAAGAGTTATTTATTGACTTTCTTGATTTATTTTGGTCAAATATGGGAACTCATGATCTCCCGAGCTTTCTTATGAATCCAAGATTAGAACTTGACAAGAAATATCTAAAGAATTGAGACAAAAAAAAAAAAAAGACAAGTCGGATAATTGGACAGCAAGATTGCGCTTGGATAATTGGAAAAGTATGTTGTCATGATGGGCGCGTCAGCTGCACCTTACTTTGGTACTAGTTGTCTAGTCTGTAAGTTAGTGTTGACTTCATTCGGGATCGAAGACTTGTTATCATCAAATCCCATGGTCTCAACAAACATTCAATCATTAATCTGCAACTATGCAGTACATATGCAAGCTCTTGTGTGCTTTCTTAATGTTTATGCTTCCATCATGTCATGGTAGAGACGCAATCACCACCGGAAGCAGTTTATTAACTGAGGGTGACGCACTTGTTTCGGCTGGGAAAAGATTTGAGCTTGGTTTCTTTCTAGATGAAGAACATTCAAACTGCTATGTAGGCATTTGGTATTACAAGTTGAACCCCCAAACAATTGTCTGGGTTGCCAACAGGGAGTCTCCAATTCAGGACCCAGAAGGGGCTGTCGTCGCCATTAAAGAAGATGGAAATCTTTATGTTCTGAATGCTACTGGCGCTACATGTTTCTCCACACAACTTGATCCTACGCCCTCTAAGTCACACAGGACTGCAAGGACAGCAAGGCTTTTGGATTCTGGGAATTTAGTTCTGATTGATAATCTTTCGGGAAAGACTTTATGGCAAAGTTTCGGCCATCCAGCCGATACTTTTCTTCCTGGGATGAAAATGGATGAGAGTTTAACACTGACTTCCTGGGCAAGTTCTGGCTACAACCCCACGCCTGGAAATTACACCTTCATCCAAGATCCAGGAGACAAGGAACAGTACATCATCTATCACAGATCTGTAACATACTGGAAAAGTGGAGTAGGAGACCAATTAACCAGTTTAAATACTTTGCCCCCTGCTGTATCCTCCTTGCTATCCAATTTTAAAACAAATGACTCAAGTCAGCCTCCATACCCAAATCCAAGGCTATTGATGAATTCCAATGGGAAAATACAATTCTATATCTGGGATAGCAATAAAACCAGTTGGTCTTTGCAATGGTCAGAGCCACGCAATAATTGCAGTTCGTATAACAGATGTGGGAAGTTTGGTAGCTGTAACAACAACAATGATGTACCCTGCAAGTGTTTGCCGGGGTTTGAACCTACTAATCCCGATGATTGGGGAGCTAACGTATTTTCCGGTGGCTGTTCTAGGAAGTCAGCTATTAGCTGCAACCAGAATGGCAAGAGAGACACATTCTTGAACCTCACTTCAGTGGTAATCGGGAATCCAGACTTGGCTTTTTCAAATGCTGAGACTGAAGAAGACTGCAAACAGGAGTGCCTTAACAATTGCCAGTGCCAGGCTTATTCCTATAGTGCATTGGATCCTACTCGAAGACAAAGAGGGACTGGTGACCTTAGACAAGAATGCAGAATTTGGACATCTGATGTCATTGCTCTCCAACAGGATATCACAAATGATCTTAACATTTCCATCCGCATTGCAATCTCAGACATGGGTAACAATGATAAACCTCCAGCAGAGCCAACTTGTAGCACTTCTATTGACTGTGAGGATTTGCCCAACTCAATTTGTAATGCTACAAAACAAGGGCTGGGAAGGTGCCTATGCAAATCCGGTTTCAAATGGGATGCCTTAAGCTTAAATTGTACCTCAGGTATACTTAAACTTTACTTTTCTTGATTATTTAACATTAGCTCTTTTGATTCTATCAATTGACTTAGGGTGTTTGGCAAATGTAGCTGATTAAGTTAGCTGATAGCTGATTGATTTAGTTGGTTTGACCAGCTGATAGTATTAGCTAGTTATAAAAAAGTGTTTGGTAAATTAGTTGTTTGCTTTTAGCTGATTGTATGTAAAATAGAGGTGGGCACACACTGATTCAAGGTCGAACCAATCCTGAGCCGGCCTGGGTTGGGCTTAGCTCAAACCTGAACCAGCTTATAGAGGGCCGGTTCAGACCTCTTGACAATAATATTTTGGTCATCTCCACATTTAGAACTCAATAAAATGAAAATCTTCTTGCCTGTGTCTCAATAATGACAGAACTGGGGTCATCAAACAAAAGGACAAAATCTTCTGTGAAGTTCAGATCAGTGATTATTTCTATCTCAGTGTTTCTAGCGGTTGTAATGTTGTGCAGCATTGGCTACATAATTTATAGAAGAAATTTGGTTCGTAAAAGAAAGGGTAAGACTGCATCAATCTTCAACTCTTATGTTTATGGAAAGAACTGTGTTTCTAACTTGTGCTGTTTTACCTTAGACAAAAGAATTGTAGGAAACCAACTTAATAACTTGGCAAACATTGGAGACCAAGAGGATGAGTTAACTGAGGATGATAAGAAAGCCATTGACATTCCATTTTTTAGCCTGGAAATCATATTGGCAGCAACAGATAATTTCTCAGATGCAAACAAGCTTGGACAAGGGGGATTTGGCCCGGTTTATAAGGTTGTTTAGAGCCTACTTTCAACTATCTTATTTCAAGGATTAGGTGCCTTGTAATGTAACAGTTGTAGACTTGCACAGGGTATTTTTCCTGGAGGGCAAGAAATTGCAGTGAAAAGGTTATTAAGCCAGGGAGGGCAAGGTGTGAATGAATTCAAGAACGAGATTGTGTTGATTGCCAAGCTTCAACATCGCAATCTAGTGAAACTTGTAGGCTATTGTGTCACAACAAATGAAAAGATTTTGTTGTATGAATACATGCCAAACAGAAGCTTAGATGCCATCATATTTGGTTAGTCTATGAACTCATCATCATCACTTTCTTTCTGCAAACCTGTGGTTAAAACCTTAACATTCTTGAGTCTTATTTTGTTTGCAAGATTCCACACTGGCTGATATGCTGGATTGGAAAATGAGGTTCGACATCATATTGGGCATTGCTAGAGGTCTTCTTTATCTCCACCAGGACTCGAGGTTGAGGATCATTCATAGGGATCTTAAAGCTAGCAACATTTTATTAGATCAAGAGATGAACCCTAAGATTTCAGATTTCGGGCTGGCAAGAATCGTTGAAGGAAAAAGTATAGAAGCCAATACAAACAAAGTTGTTGGAACTCTGTAAGTTTATATATATGATAATCCTTACTACATTTCCATACATAAGCATCATTAATGTAGTGTGGTGAATTCAAGGAATCTATTATCTTAATTATGCAGATCAGACACTAATTTCATACTTTCTTTTGTTTTGCCAAGGGGATATATGCCTCCGGAATATGCACTGGAGGGGCTCTTCTCAATCAAATCTGATGTTTTTAGTTTCGGTGTGGTTGTACTTGAGATCATTAGTGGAAGGAAAAACACATCATTTTTCCAATCTCAAGAATCCTTGAACCTCTTAGGCCATGTGAGCATCATATCAAAAGCCTATTCTTTCTACAAATTTTTCTGTGATTGTTTGTTTAGCGGTGACAATATAATTCTGTAACTGTGTCTGCAGGCATGGAAGTTTTGGATGGAAGAGAAAGCAGTGGATATGATGGATCCGGTTCTGGTCTCTTCTTGCAACCAAAGTGAAGTGTTGAGGTGCATAAATGTGGGGCTATTATGCGTGCAAGAAGATCCAAACGACCGGCCAACAATGTCGAATGTTGTTATAATGCTAGCGACTGAAAACATGAGTGTTCCACCGCCGAAGCAGCCAGCTTTTGTAGCAAGGCGGCGTATTTCTGAAACGCCATCTTCTTCTTCGTCCAAGATCACCGCCGAATCCCACAATGAGTTGACTATTTCAATGGTGGGTCGATAGTTAACCAATCAATACTCTTTTGATATGATTATCTCAAACCAACCAATTTAAAATCAGTAAAGATGTATGAGATTTTAATGTTGGTTGAAAGAGCATTATTTAACCGAGTGACAACAATAAAATGGCAATTTATTACATGTTGACATCGGAAATATTAGTGTCTAGTGTAGTGTAATAAATTGAGCAAATACCAATCTTAGTTCCATGAGTATTAGTAAAATAACAGGTTTGATTCACATATTTAATTCTTACTAATTTTCATCCATGACTATTATTTATTTATTTTAGTACCAATTTTCATTTACGAGTATTGTTTTAATGTCAAAATTTATCACGTCGGTCACCCCTTCGTTTAAGACATGTCGAAATATGAAATTATTAAAGGGTATTTTTGTTATTTTCAAATTAAGATCCCAATTTGAGCATGAGTAAAGTGTTGTTTTAATGTCAAAATTTATTACGTCGGTCACACATTCGTTTAAGACATGCCGAAATATGAAACTATTAAGGGTGTTTTTGTTATTTTCAAATTAAGATCCCAATTTGAGCATGAATAAAATGATTTAAGACCTAAGGTTGATCCAAATTTGCAGTTTTCCACTATTTCTCCTCCTCAAATTAAGGTAGGATGAGGAAAAAAATTACGAATTGAGATTAGTCTTGTGGCTTAAATCCCTTTATTCATGCTCAAATTGGGATCTTAAGTTGAAAAATTATATTAAAAAAAATACACTTAGAAATTTTATGTTTAGAATGTCTTACCGGTGTGATGAATCTTAACACTAAAACAATAATCGTGGATAAAAATTGGTACTAAAATAATAATCTTGGATGAAAATTAGTAAGAATTAAACATGTGGACAAAAATTGTCATTTTACTAATACTCGTGGGACCAAAATTGATATTTATTCATAATAAATTTGTTGATCAAAATCATTAATATAATATTCTAATTGTCACTGGTTGCTCCGTGCCAAACAATGTCACAATTTGCATTTGGTTTCGCCTCAATTGCACCGACCAATTAACTTTAATTTTAGTGTGGGTGTTGGTTTAATGTAACAGTTGTAGACTTAAGGGGTGTATTCAATCATGACTTTTGTAGAGTTTTAAAGACTTTTAAAATGATAGATTTTAATAAACTTTGATTGACTTTCATAGAGTCGTTCAAAACTTTATAATACTCTATAAAAGTCTATATAAAAAACATTCATAGACTTTTATCAACTTTTTATTTTAAAAAGTCTACAAAAGTCATTGAAATTCTAAATTGAATACATCCTTACAAACTTTCAATGATTTTGATTCTTATCATTTATATAATTTTCTTACAAAACATTTATAATATATCATAAAATTTTCTTATTATATAGTTCTTCACACACATCAACATTCTCAACATTATTATTTATCTCCATAGTATGTAGGTTGAGACTTATATGCTAATTACTTATATATATTATTAATAAACATAAAAAAAATTATTTCTTTAGATAATCATAACAATATTGAATAATAAAATTTATAATAAAAGAATTGATCAAATAAAATATTTAAAAATATAATTACAAGTGTTAGCAAGACTATTATTTCATATTTATTATTTGTATAATATATAGTCTTAGACTAGTGGTGGTACTTAGACTTTGACTTAGCTCTTTATTAGTTAGATTAGTTAGAGATTATTTCTAAGATATACTCTGTAACTTATCTTCAGTCTAATCCATCTGAGGTGAATTTGTTAATCACAAGTTGCATAAAATAAAAAAAAAATTAATATATATATATATATATATATATATATATATATATATATATATATATATATATATATATATATATATATATAAAATTATACTTGATATATTGTTAGGCATCACGCAAAGAACAATTATTTGCAATAAGAGACTCCGAACAACAAGACGGTGCTTTTGTTTGCAACCCCGAATTGTTGTTGCGAACAGTAGTTCGCTATTCGTAGTAACTTGTTAAAAATAGGAAAAATATATATTACGAATATAAACATAAAAAGAATAAAAATAAAAATGTATAAGTATTTATAGGAATATTATGAAACATATAGTAAAATTTGATGATGAAAAATTTGCTTTGTTCATGTATTTAGGGAGAATTAGAGAAAGTTAGGGATAAAAATTTATTAAAAAAGTAAAAATCAATATAAACAAGCAATAATGAAGTAAAAATAATATTATTTCAAATTTTTAGAGGAAGATTGTAAAGTTTAGGAGAGAGAAAAAAAATTGGTAGAGTTTTAGGTATGAGGAAAATATGGGATAACGAAGAAAAAATTAATTTTATTAAATTTAGATAGGTTTATAAAGTTTAAATAGGGAGAAAAATAGAGTTTAAATAGAGAGAAAACATTCAAAGTTGTTAGAAATAAAATTTTAAAATCTTGGGGTTGATGGTTGGATTTCAACTATTTATATTTGAGAAGGAAAAGTCTACAAAAGTCTTAAAATTAAAAAGTCTACAAAAGTTCATAACTTTTTGAATACCACGTGACTTTTAAAGACTCTCTAAAAGTCTTAATCGAATACCACACGACTTTTAAAGACTCTTTAAAAATCTTGATTGAATACCGCATGACTTTTAAAGACTCTCTAAAAGTTTGAATTGAATACCCCCAAACTTTTAAAGTTCATAAAAGTCTTTAAAACTCTATGAAAGTCATGATTGAATACACCCCCCTTAGCTTGCACAGGGTATTTCTCCAATCTCAAACTTTTAATTTTCTTTACAAACTTTTTTTTCTCTGTCCGAACCACACGAACTTTTTATTTCTTTCTGTCAAATTTCACATTACGTTTCAAAAATTTCTTTTATCTTTTAATTTTCTCTATAATCTGAGCTATTATATTAGGCAACTCCCGTGGGCTGCCATGCATGAACATGGAGAAGAGACAAATTCATCGGAATAGTCGCACCGCCGAGATTAATCGAAAATTTTCTGGTCAAATTAAAACAATATTAACTATAAAATTCAAATTTCTAATGTTTTTCCATTATTTTTAGGGAGAAAAAGAATTTTAGGTCTAAAGAGAGAAAGAAGGGAAAATTAGGCTTTAGACGCTATTGGTTATATTGGCAAGGCTTATAGCTTAATTTAACTTACTAATAAATTATAAATTCTCTGTTTAATTTGGTAATGTTTTCAATAACTTCGTAGCTTAAAATAAGAGTTTATTTTCGAACGTTTCAAAATAAACTAGTAACTTCCTAACCTTTTTTTTTTGCCCATTTTATCTTTATTATTTTAAAGAAATAACACCATTTACCCTTCTCAATTTAAAAACCTTTTACTTCTCTTTATCTGCAACTTTCACGACAAATCCTTTATTATTATTATTAAACATTTTTAAAGAAATGACAAATCCTTTATCCGCACTTTTTTATTATTATTATTATTATTATTATTATTATTATTATTATTATTATTATTATTAGAAATGACAAATCCTTTATCCGCACCTTTATTAGATTCATAAAAAGTTAATAAAAGTCCAAAAAAAATTCTATGAGAGTTATTTAAAATCCATCACTTTACAACTCTTTGAAAGTCTATAAAAATCTTGATTGGATACACTCTTACAACACGTTTGGTTCACGGAATGAATTTTGGGGTAATAGAAATGTTATTCCATAAGAAATGGAATACGCAAGGAATAGAATAGGAATTGTATTCTATTGTTTGGTTCGCGGAAGGAATATATACTTTAGGAATTATATTACAGTGTTTGGTTGGTTTAAGGAATAGAAATGAAATATTTTTTAAAAGACATAAATACCCTTATAAAAAATATGGTGGTGGTGGTGGTGGCGGCAGTGGCGGTGGCTGTGGTGGTGAAATAGGAAATAAATTTAATTAGGGATAAAATAAGAAATATATAATGTTGGAAAAAATAGCTTGAAATGGCATAAAATGGCATATTAAGTGGGTATTTTGTGGTACAATTATCAGTGGGGTCCACTTCCGATTTGGGTCGGGTCAAAGTGGATTCGGGTTCTTCGTAGTGAGACGAAGAGATTGATATATTGTACGCTCAAAACGGATAATGGGTGAATGAGATATTGATTCTCAAAGTAGACCCATTTGAGTTGGAAAATGAAGGGAAAAAGTGAACTTTTGTCCCACATTGGTTTGGGAAGAGGATTTGCCCCACTATTTATACATGAGCTCTTGTTAAGCTTATTGAATTGTATAGCATAGAGGCTCTCTCTTGTGCGCAAGGGGAGTGCAAATCAAATCCCAAAACTTCGATATTCATTTTCCAACAAAGCCACGAAATTTCGTGTTGATTATTGTGTTAGTTTCGGCCAAGTGGCCGAAACTATTGAAACTGTAAGTTTCAAAGTCTCGGCCACGTTAGGCCGAATTTGCAAGTGAATTGCAAATGGCCACGTTAGGCCAAATTTGCATGGGAATTGCAAATTGCAATTTGCAATTGCAATTGCTAATTTCGGCCAGCTTGGCCGAAACTTTGCAAAAGCAGTGGCCGAGATATGCACAGTATACACGAACCAGAAAGCTTCTATTTGTGACTGTTGGGATTTAATTCAGCTGTTATGGGATTAATTCTTTGAATTAAATCCAATTTTAATTTTTGAATTAACACCCATGTTTATGGTGGATGTTACAAGAAGTTGTAGGGATGCCCCTAAATGCCATAATAAAGGCTATTCACTCCTCAATCCCTATATAAGGAGGGGGTAGAGTGCAGCAGATTTAACAAGCACATTGTGACAAGAACACACAACACAAGAAGTGTTTTCTCTCCTCAAAAACTCTGTTTCTACTCCTTTCTTAAGCCGAACTGTGTTCAAGGCTTTGCTCTAGTTCGCCGAGTTCGTTCGTTTGGGTGCTCAAACGTCGAACCGTAGCGCGTTTTATCCTGGGAAACCTAGGCCACGGCGCTCCTAGCACTTTTGGGAGGTGGCAAATAAGGTTTTAAGGAAAGAGTGGTCTCTTGACTCACGCTAAAAACCCTTATCCAAACACGAGCCAATCTTTCCTTCTTTCGTTTTTGGATTATGCTTCTAAGCAAAAATCCTCCTATAATGTTATAGTTTGGTTGGAATTATAATCTGTGTATTATAAATTCCATTTGGTTGATATGTATATATCTTTTCCGTAGATATTCATGCATATAACCATGGCGGTCTGATTTATATATATATTTGTGTATATATATATATATATATATATATATATATATATATATATATATATATATATTTCGGATATAATATATCGAATAATATTTTATATACTTCGTGTGTGTATATATAAATATTATTTTACGATATTAAATCGATTTTTGGTTCATTATCACCAACATATAAATGTCTGTGTGATATATATATATATATATATATATATATACACACACACACACATACATACACACACACACACACACTAGTATCTCTTATGCGTGATGCCAAAAAATAAGTGCCCAATATTAATATTTTATATTAAAATTTTAAATTTATTTATATTTTAGATATTTAAATTATTGTAAATAATAATAATAATAATGTAAAATATTTCTATAAATTTAATATTTATATTTTAAGAAATAACTAACATATAACTCCAATATATAATGTGTATATTATTATTATTATTATTGAAAATAAGAAAATATATGGTGAATGCATGTACATGGAAGCAATAGTGGAAAAGATAACGAAAGTTATAATGGTAGGAATATATTTGTCCAATTGTCCCAAATATTGTATAGTACAACATTTATAGCATAATGTATCATAAAACTTAACGAAAAAAACAGACATAAATGAATGATATAACACTATAACCTTCCTTCACACTTATTATGTTTTAATATATATATATATATATATATATATATATATATACACCCCATGTAGGTAAAGATATTTTTGTTATTTGTAATATAAAAGCTATTCCTCAGGTAATAAGTCATTCTTAGAAATAGTATTCACATAACAAAGTGACGAACCAAACAATGGAATAGGTTTATTTCAAAGAATGTCATTTTATTCTTGATCTATTCTATGAACCAAACATGCCATTAGTTATAGAGCGAGTGTTCAAATGAAAATGATTTGACTAATCTGGCACTTTCACCAAAGAAAAACGCAAACAACATTGACGTTTAAAGATTTGCATGCGTATTTGATAAGTGTTATTTTATCATACGAGAAGCCAAAGATTGGAAGTGTGGAAATATTGCAAAAATCACAAGGAAACATTGTTATCATGGCTCCACCAACTTTGGAAGTTGGAATTTACTAGCATTACTTTTACTAGTCTACTGTCAACATTACTAGCATTACTTCAGCATTGACTTCATAGGAGATGAAGACTTTATCATCATCATCATCATTCTACTGTCTAAGCAACGCATGCAATTGATCTGCAACTATGAACCACCGGCGCCTTTTCCTGTGTTCATTTTTGGTGTGCTTTGTGCTTCCATGTCACCCTACTACTACTACTACTACTAGAGACATCATCACCAGTGGAAACAGTTTACTCAAAGATGGAGAAACTATTGTTTCAGCTGGGAAGAGTTTTGAGCTAGGGTTCTTTCCTCCTCAGGGTGCAAACAGATATGTGGGGATATGGTATTATGGACACAATCCTCGAACAATCGTCTGGGTTGCCAACAGGGATAACCCGTGTTCAGATTCTCCAGGAGCCATTATTGCCATTCAAGAAGGTAACCTTACTATATCAAGCGGAAATGGAGATTCTTGTTTCTCCGTGGGACATCGATATCCCTCCACCCCCAGGTCTTACAACCGGACAGCACAGCTTTTGGATTCAGGGAATTTGGTTTTCAGGGACGAATCAGGGGAAATACTGTGGCAGAGTTTCGATTACCCAACCGATACTTTCCTCCCCGGGATGAAGATGACACCGGGGGGCTTAAAATTGGTTTCCTGGAAAACCTCTCAGGACCAGCCTGCAACTGGGAATTACACATTCCAGCTTGATAAAGGCACGGCCCAGTACATCATTCTGAAGAGAACAGTAACGTACTGGAAAGGTGGCGTTGGAGACGGATTAACCAGTTTAAGTGGTATACCCACTGCTGTATACTTCTTGCTATTGAATTTTAGTGCGGCAAACTTCCCAAACCTGCCTTTATACCATAATCCAAGACTATTGATGAATTCCTCTGGGCAAATACAGTTCTATATCTGGGATAATAGCGAGGCTAGCTGGTCTTTGCAATGGGCACAGCCAAGGGATAATTGCAGCGTGTATAACTTCTGTGGGACGTTTGCTAGCTGTAGCATCAACTATGGTTCAATCTGCAAGTGTTTGCCGGGGTTTAAACCTACTAATCCAGATGATTGGGGAGCTGAAGAATTTTCAGGTGGTTGTTCTAGAAAGTCAGATATTAGCTGCAACCAGAATGCCACGAGAGACACATTCTTTAATCTCACTTCAATGATTCTTGGGAAACCAGACCCGCGTATTACAAATGCTAAGAGTGAAGAAGAATGCAAACAGGATTGCCTTCGTGATTGCCAGTGCCAGGCTTATTCGTATAGTGCAGTGGATCGAAGACAAAGAGGGACTAGTGACGTTAGACTCGAATGCAGAATTTGGACATCTAATTTAGCTGGTCTCCAAAAGGATGACACCATTGGTCTTAGCCTTTCCGTCCGTGTTGCAATTTCTGACTTAGGTAAGAACAATATATTCCTTTCCCAGCTTAGACTTTACTTTTAGTTGAGATGGAGCACATTCTTCAACCAACCTTCATGTCACTTCCATAAAAAGAGACCATGGTTCTGGTTCAAGTGTGTTAGTTGCTTGGAGTCCGTCAAAAGTAACCTGACTCTGAGGAGGCCAACATATAATATATGAATAGCAATCCAACTATCAACTTAGACTTTTAGTTGAGATAGAATACATTCTTCAATTCCCCTCATTAAACATCATTGCTTTTGTGAAATGTTTCATGCTCTGATCTTTTGCAGAACGAACAAGGAGGGACTGTCTCCCTTGTGGTTTAAAGTCGATACCATATCCTTTAAGCACTCAACCAGACTGTGGAGATCCTCTGTACAGTAGTTTCTCCTGTAAAGAGTCCACAGGCGATTTAAGTTTCCAAACAGTGAATAATTCCTATCTTGTCACTGGTATCGACTTCAACACCCAAAGATTTTTTATTGAAGTCGATATGGAAAATTCTCATACATGTAATTCCAGAAACCCAACTGATGGAGTCGCACTCAACGATTCATTGCCATTCAATGTGACCAACTGGTGTTATATTGACGACATTGATCAATTACTGAATCAACGCAAAGATAGTATAGAGATTGGTTGGAACCCTCCACCGGAGCCAACTTGTAGTGCTCGTATTCACTGTGAGGATTGGCCCAACTCAATTTGCAATGCTACAAATCAAGGGCAGGGGAGGTGCCAATGCAAATCAGGTTTCAAATGGGATGCCTCAAGCTTAAATTGTACCTCAGGTATGCTTAAACTTTACTATTCCTGTTTGATTATATGCTCTTTGTTAGCCTCCATGCAATGTCATTGTCTTTGATCTGAGAGCAATGTTTTGGTGCAGTAGTGGCATAAGGCTTAAAGATTTTATGCCATCTCCACATTTAGAACTCAATGAACTGAAATTCTTCTTGCCTATGTCTCAGTAATGACAGAAGCAGGGTCATCAACCGAAAGGACAAAATCTTCTGTGAAGTTCAGATCAGTGATTATTTTTATCTCAGTGGTTCTAGTGCTTGTAATTTTGTGCAGCATTGGCTACATAATTTATAGAAGAAATTTGGTTCATGAAAGAAAGGGTAAGGCTGGATTGGAAGAATTCTGTTTCTAACTAGTGGGTGCTGTTTTTCTTTGACAACAATCTGAGGAAATCAACTGAGAATAACTGTACTTAACAAACATTGCAGACCAAGAGGATGACTTGTTCACTGAGGATGATAAGAAAGCTATTGACATTCCATTTTTTAGCCTGGAAATCATATTGGCAGCAACAGAGAGTTTCTCTGATGCAAACAAGCTTGGACAAGGGGGTTTTGGCCCGGTTTATAAGGTTATTTCGAGACTAAACGACTATCTTATTTCGAGCATTAGGCCCCAGGCCAGCTTGTGAATGTAACAGTTGTAGACTTGCACAGGGTATTTTTCCAGGAGGGCAAGAAATTGCTGTGAAAAGGTTGTTGAGCCACAGTGGACAAGGCGTGAATGAATTCAAGAACGAGATTGTGTTGATTGCCAAGCTTCAACACCGCAATCTAGTGAAACTTGTAGGCTACTGCATCACAACAAATGAAAAGATTTTGTTGTATGAATACATGCCGAACAAAAGCTTAGATGCCATCATATTTGGTTAGTCCATGATCGCTGCTGATCTTCTTTCTGCAACTTATTTATCAGCTTCAATTCAATTCTTTGCATTCTAAAATGTCTTCTCATTTTGCAAGATTGCACACTCTCTGCGACACTGGATTGGAAAATGAGGTTCGACATCATATTGGGCATTGCTAGAGGTCTTCTTTATCTTCACCAAGATTCAAGGTTGAGGGTCATTCATAGGGATCTTAAAGCTAGCAACATTTTATTAGATCGAGAGATGAACCCCAAGATTTCAGATTTTGGGCTGGCAAGAATCGTTGAAGGAAAAAGCATAGAAGCCAATACAAAGAAAGTTGTTGGCACCCTGTAAGTTTATATAATAATCCTTGCTACATTTCCATACATAAGCATCATTATTGTTTGGTGAATTCAAGGAATTTAATTTGATTATGCAGACACTAATTTTGATACTTTTGATCACCTTTATTTTGTTTTACCAAGTGGGTATATGCCTCCAGAATACGCAATGGAGGGGCTCTTCTCAATCAAATCGGATGTTTTTAGTTTTGGTGTTGTTGTACTTGAGATCATCAGCGGAAGGAAAAACACATCATTTTTCCAGTCTCAAGAATCCTTGAACCTCTTAGGCCATGTGAGCATACACATTCTGCTGCAAACAAATCTGTCATTATTTGTTCACTAGCTAGTGCTGATTCTTTATTGTCGTCTCAGGCATGGAAGTTTTGGATGGAAGAGAAGGCACTGGATATGATGGATCCGACTCTACTCTCATCTTGCAACCAAAGTGAAGTGTTGAAATGCATAAATATGGGGCTGCTGTGCGTGCAAGAAGATCCAAACGATCGACCAACAATGTCCAATGTTGTTATAATGCTTGTGACTGAAAGCATGAGTCTTCCACAGCCGAAGCAGCCAGCTTTTGTAGCAAGGAGGCGTGTCTCCGACACGCCGTCTTCTTCTTCGTCCAAGAAAAGTACCTACTCCAACAATGAAGTCACTGCTTCAGTGCTGGTAGAAGGTCGATAGTGAAGCGAGACTTAATCTCGGATCATTGTTTTTAAACTTCATCTCAATAACTAACTGAGCTGTCTTGAAGTTATATAATGTTGTTATGGTAATGTGAGTATGATTATTTATTGTCACATAAGAAAATGGATAAAGTACGTGAAGATAATGTGAATACTTATTTTTCTTAGGTATTGTATTATGTTTTGATATTTTAATTTAGCTGTTTGCACACTATATATTATTTTGGTAATGAAATTCCAAACCTTTAAAACGTTAAAGATAATATTACATTCGTGAATTTTGATTAGTTTGTAAACTTTGTGATACAAAAATTTAAGTTTGATTTTCAAATAAAACTAACCTTTAAGATAATTTTGATGTTTAAGGGTTCTAGGTTAATACGGAATAATATCCCAAAAAAAAAAAGGTTAATACGGAATAACCTACTAAGCTACCATCTTTGGTTTTCTTATGTTTAAAATATATCAATGTAATCAAGTGGCTTGTGGTCCATTAGTACTTGGTTGCTCTTTAAGTAGGAGAAAGGTTCAAACCTCATTTGAGGCATTGATGTATTGATGTGACATAAACATTATTATTTGTCTTTAACAAAATTTTTTACAAATTTTATAAAATGTTTAAAGCTATTTTTTAAATTTAAAAATATATTTCTTAAAGAGGTACTATCATTTTATTTATTTACTTATTTTTATATTTGCATATTTTTCTTACCTCTAGTATCATGTATTTTCCTATGTTTTTTTCCGTCATTTTGTTATGACTATAGATAGAACCATAACAATTAAGAAATTATATTAACTATACAAGATGAACACATACTACCTTATAATAGAGTCAATAGTATTAAAAAAATAATTATACAAAATAATGATTTATTTTGTACATAATTTTTTCTTACTAATATGTAATCAATTATGGAATGTATATTTGATTACAAAGGAGGAGGGATCCCAAGTCTGACAAACGACCTACAAATCGAGTGCCATATGACACTGACCAGGAACACTTAACACATCATCTTCAATAACATCCATCAACCCCCAAGGGGGGAAGTTGTGTTCTTTCCAGGCTCTAAATTGACGGGCACCAACACTGGTGAACCAATTTGCTGCATAATTTTGTTCGCGCCAAATGCTCAACTCTCGAGAACTTGCCTCGCCAAACTCTATGTCCTTAATAATTTTATGCATTGGACCTTTGGCCTCGATTGGTCTCTCAATCCATTGGAGAACCTCCCGAGCATCACACTACACCACAACATCTCGGATGACAAATTATGTTGTGCAACCGTGTGCACCATGCATGGTGCACATGAAATTGGATTCATAATTTCTATACTATAGATTCATAATTTCTATATTATAGATTCATAATTATTGAACTATGTATTCACAATTACAAAATTTTATATTCATAATTTTCAATGTTCATAATTTAATAACTATGCAGTTTAGAAATTATGAATCTACAATATAAAAATTATGAATCTATAGTATAAGAATTATGGATCTATATATAATATAAAATTATGTATCCATAATTTCTATAATTTCTATACGATTCCAACATAATGCTCCATCTTGGATACCTCTACACCAAGCCCACCGAAGAACTTTTTTACGGAGTATATTTTAATTATTATACATATAATGGGATTGATAACTATTGAGAAATGTCGCTTTCGTAGAAGTTGACAAGTCGAATACCACAAGCCTATTAAATTAGCCTCACTTTCCAAAAAAAAAAAATAAATAAATAAATAAAAATAGCCTCAAGTGAATGAGTGATCATTGATGATTCCCACAAGACTATTAAGGATGTGTTTGGTTCACACATAGGAATTAGAATCGGAATCATAATGAGTATCAAATACTTAGTAATAGTAATAAATTTTGGTGAAAGTATTTAACATGTTTGGTAATAAGGTGTAATGACTAATGAGAATGATTACTAATAGTAGTGCTTAAGAATGAATAAGGGAATAAAATCCTTATTTTATTTGAATATGAGTTTTTCAATTGATGAGGTATTCGAAACCCATAATAGTGTTCTAAAACCTATCAACCAAACAACAACAATCACTTTCATACTAATTTCTATGGGTAAAACCTACCAACCAAACACATCCTAAATTGTCGATTCACTCTATCTAATACAAATTTATTTTTTATATATCATTAATTTATTTTAATGTACTCGTATTATACATATATATTTTTAATAAATTTATTATATTTTGACACATATTTATTCTTAATATAATGTAAGTTAAAAATTTAAAATAAACCCGTAATATATTAAAAATAAATATATATTACATAAAAAATAATTTATATTAAGAATATATCTTGTAAAATGAACTGTGCTTCACGGTATACAACTGCTTAATCGAGTGAACTAACCAGACATTTCTGGACTTCCTTATTCCAACAGTCAATTTAAGACATTTCAAATTTATGAAAATTTCAACAATGATGACCCAGAAAACCTTTGGATTATGGTTCAGATTTTTACCATTAACCAAGTACCTAATTAATTAATTCATTGATTAAAGAATGTAAGCTCCACTTTCAGCAGACTAATGCTCCGTGCACTCCTATGCAGCCATGGAGCTGAGACTGAATAGTTGTTCTCTCTGGCATTCTCTGTTCTTCTTCTTCTTCTTCTTCTTCTTCATCAATTCTCCAGAAATCTCTCTGGGATCAAACATCCTCACCACAGCAGACAAACCGCTAACTCTTGGAGTAAATCTTGTCTCTGAAAATAGAAGATTTGAGATGGGTTTCTTCACTCCGGGTAAGTCATCTAATTACTACGCAGGCATTTGGTACAACCTGATATCGCCTCAAACAGTGATTTGGGTTGCCAATAGGATAGCTCCGATTTACCCTGCCGACATGGATTCAGCTCAGCTTAACATCCAAGACGGGAACTTGGTGCTGATAACTGGAAGCAGAAAGTCGCTTTGGTCAACCAATCTCAACTACTCTGAGTCGCCCAAGAATCCCGTTCAAGCAACGCTTCTCAATACCGGAAACTTGGTTCTTTCCGACGGCCCGTATTCTAACACCACTCCGCCGCTCTGGCAGAGCTTCGATCATCCGGCGGACACGCTCATGCCCCACGCGCGACTCGGGTACAATAAGCGCACGAACGAGAAACAGTCGCTCACTTCATGGCGGAACTCGGAGGATCCGGCGCCGGGACCGTACAGTCTCGAGATGGACCCCACGATTGCGCAGTATGTTGTGAAGTGGAACGGAATAGAGCAATACTGGAGCAGTGGACCCTGGGATGGCCGTGCATTTAAGGATCTTCCCAATTCTTTGTACGATTTCAGCTATGTCAACAATGTGAACGAGAGCTATTCGACGTATTTCCCCAACGACCCTTCCGTGATCTCAAGACTCTCAATCACTGTGACGGGCCAAATCCAGCAGTTTACATATAGCGGTCAGTGGCAAAGCGTCTTTAATCGGCCGGAAAAACAATGCGACGTTTATGCTTCTTGCGGCCCGTTTGGCGTGTGTAACGAGAATTCGTCTTCTGTTTGTGAATGCTTGCCCGGTTTCAGCGTCAAGTCGGATAAAGATTGGAGATTGAAGGATTTTTCCGGCGGCTGTGCCAGGAATGTGAAGTTGCAATGTGCGAATGCAAGTGCCCCAAAGGACAACTTTGATCCGACCACGAATATGAAATTGCCCAGACAGCCTCAAAATGTGACAGTTCGGAGCTCTCAACAATGCGAATCAGTTTGTCTGCGGAATTGTTCCTGCACTGCTTATGCTTATGATACTAACAATGGTTGCTTAATATGGAATGATGAATTCTTGAATCTCTCAAAAGATGATAGAAATGGAAGCACAATTCGGATTAGACTCGCTGAATCTGAACATGGAGCTGTCCAAGGTAACAACAGCTCTCAACTCATATGGATTGCTATATTTGTGTTTTGAGTTGCGAAAACACATTAATCTTGTTTTGTTTCTACTGAGAAATATGTTGGCTGTCTGAATTTCGTAATTTATTGCCTCAGCTATGAATTGGGAACTGTAAATGTTTCTGAAGAACTTTGGAATCAGAAGAATTTTTCATACCAAATTGCCAGTTTTATTTCATGTTTCCTCATTTTCATTTTCATTTCAACAGTTGGAAATCACAAGTCATCAGGGAAACTCAAAGCAATCATACCTGCAACTATAGCCGTTGCCATTCTAGTTGTTTGTGTCTTTTTCTACATTTACTACAGACATAGGAGAAACGCGAAACATAGAGGTAACCTTAAAAGAAGTAATTGCTTGAGTTATTGGTTGGAGAAGAGAAGGTTTCCTCAACTAATAGTTTTGAATCTTTGGTTTTGGACTTCAGAAAATGAAAGTAACAATCAAGAGATTCAATTGCACGAAGTGTATGACAGTGACAGAGAAGGCATGATAGAAGAACATGATGAGAAAGGGATCGACGTTCCATTCTTCAGTTTCGAAAGTATATTAGTTGCTACAGACAACTTTTCTGATGCGAATAAGCTTGGACGTGGAGGTTTTGGTCCCGTTTACAAGGTAATGATCAACATATATACCTCTCTGTTTAGGTAAGTATTATTCCAACTCCACTCAATATTTTGTACCCATCATACAATTCAACCGTGCAAATACTTGTGCAGGGTGTATTCGAAGGAGGTCGAGAAATAGCAGTAAAAAGGTTATCAAAAGAATCCGGACAAGGCAGCAATGAATTTAAGAATGAAGTTATACTAATTGCAAAGCTTCAACATCGGAATCTAGTTCGCCTTTTGGGCTACTGCATTAAAGGAAAAGAAAAGATTCTGCTCTACGAATATATGCCAAACAAAAGTTTAGACACCTGGATATTTGGTTAGTCCATCACATGTTGTTTTCTGTTCTTTTTCTTTTCTGCCCGTTAAACAATCTGGTAATGTTTGGTTTCTACTAATCTTCTTTTTTCACCATAATCTCTCAAGATCGAAACTTAAGTGCACAACTGGATTGGGAGAAGCGATTTGACATTATATTGGGGATTGCTCGAGGGCTATTGTATCTCCATCATGATTCAAGATTGAGGGTCATTCATAGAGATTTAAAAACGAGTAACATTTTGTTAGATGAAGAAATGAATCCCAAAATTTCAGATTTTGGATTGGCAAGGATTGTTGAAGGCAAAAGAACTGAAGCAAACACCACCAAGGTTGTTGGGACATAGTAAGTACACTAACTACTAAGCATATCTCATTTTTATCTCAAAGATTCCAGCATTCTTATGTATGTGATTAGTCTCCTAATATGCATCAATTGTTCTGTAATACACAGTGGTTATATGTCACCAGAATACGCATTAGATGGACTATTCTCAACAAAATCAGACGTATTTAGTTTTGGAGTAGTTGTCCTGGAGATCATCAGTGGCAAGAAAAATAGCGGGTTTTATCATCTTGATGAATCTTCAAACCTATTAGGCTATGTGAGTGACATAACTTTGCTATGCTATAATTGTCATTCCAACCTTAACAATATGACTATATGCTATAAATTTCAGGCATGGAGATTGTGGAGCGAAGAAAGAACGAAGGATTTAGTAGACCAGCCACTCCTTCCACTTGAACCAAACCATGAAACCGAAGTCTTCAAGTGTATAAATGTCGGGTTGTTGTGTGTACAAGAAGATCCAGGCGTTCGCCCTAGCATGTCTAACGTACTCATTATGCTCGGGAGCGATAGTATGAGTATCCCGAGAGCCAATCAACCAGCTTTCGTCGCAAGGGCGCGCATGACATCTGGCACTTCGTCATCTGCTTCCTCTAGTAAGCCATACTCCAACAACCAAATGACAATTACAGCTCAAGAAGGTAGATAAGGGAAGATTTTGTACAATGCTAGTTTAGTAGTTTTTCAGTCTACTGAGAAACACAGAGGAGTCACTGTTTTATTCATTTAATTCTTTATATGACTTCTTCCTCGTACATAATCCATGTAGAATGTTAAATTTTTTGTATAGCCGCAAGTGGTCAATGTTCAATACTGAACGCCCACAAGATTTAAGATTTATAAGAATGTGAACACATTAAAGTTTTGGTTCTGACCTCTTTTTATAACTAAACCAAGAAATTCATAATTCCTCTGTTCATATTCACAATGTCAAACACATTTTTGGACAGAAATCCTGATAGGTGGCGGTGTGGAAGATGAATTATTGGAGGCTGCTGTTGTCCATCTGTCCATCCAATTGTCAAAGACATGCTCACATCCACTGGGAAATTGTACATACCATCGAATAGTGATTATGTGTTTTCCTTCACTATTAACATAACCGATGGGGCGGCAAATGTGGATATATGAATAACTCAAGGAAAAAAAGTACTATAAACATATAACTCAGGAAGAAAAAGTGCTATTTTTCCTTCTCATTATGTACAAACCTGATAAAACCCATAAAATAAACAAGTTACTAAGTCGAGTATCAAGTATATTCTGTATGTCTCATATGTTACTAGAAGATGACAAGTGCTAACGCATAGTAAAGTATAGCAGAATGACAATATATATTTGTCTCCATTGTTTGAACTCAAATTGAGTTCGTTGAGTGTGTTGGGAGTTACAATGATAATTTTGTAAATTGTTAGAGTTATAAATACATATATGATATTTATAGTCCTAAATATATAATTATCACAATTAATAAAAGACTTAATAAAAGACTTCATTTGCTGCTGTAGGCATAAGTAACAGTCGAACCACATATTACCACATACTTATTAGTCTAATTATGATGATAAAATGTATGCATGACAAAAATGAATTGGTCGGGAAAAGTGATTCAAGAAACTTGTGATGAGTGCGAAAAAGAAAATTCCAAGTGGGTGGAAAAGATCAGAGATGAGAAAAAGACTCTCAGAATCTTCTATGAAGTTTCATTTCTTCTCAATATGCTTATCTTTCTTATGCCGGTGGTGCCCAACCTTTGGAAAGTTGGCCTATCTTCATCACTGATCATGTAGGGACTTGAGACCCAATCTTTATCATCACCAATCAAATTAAATTGCCTTTTTTTTTGCTTTGAGTTTATCTTGTATGTAACTAAAATGTAATTATTTTTATGAATTTATGTTTTTATGGTTTGGGCTGTCATTTGTATGTATGATGTAGTTAGGAGAAGTAATAAGTATCTTGTGTTGTTAGTTTTCATGTATTGTGTTGTGAGTTTTTGTGTCTTGTGTTACAAAATTATGTACTTTAAGTATTATTCTATACCTAAAACAAATTAGTACTCGTGTAACACACAACATATTGTGTTTTTTTTAATGTTATGAATTTATGTATTGTATTGTAAAATTTTGTGCCTATAGAACATAAATTATCTACATAAATCATATTTGAAAATAAGTAAATATATAACATGTGTATGTGTATGTGCCTTGTGTTGTGAATTTTTATATCTTGTTTTATGAAATTCTGTACCTGGAATATATTAATAGATGTGTAGAAACATGAGAAACGAAAGAACTACCGAATCCATTAAAATTTAAAAATCAAAATGACATCGTTTTAATCCAGGGTCCATAATACTATGTGGACCATAGTCCCCGATATAAATTACAATGTGCATGAGACATTTATACAACAATGTTATTCCCATTATTATACTTTCTTTTCTTATAATTCAAAATTATTTTTAAATATACTTTTAGGAATGTACCTTGAAGCAGTAAATTAACCATTATTGTTTCTTTTAGGAATGTAAATAAGCCAAATAAGATAAACAATATAATGTATTTTAATTTCCTGATTTATTTTTTCTAGTGGGGTTAATTTCTATTAACAATTGTCCCAGCACGCCAGTGATAGAATAGTACTGTGCATGTGTTTGACATTATTATCCTCAGATCACTTTCTTTGAAAGAGTCAAAAGCTTTGATACAGTCATATACAGACCACCTTCTCATATATTACATTATCAACGTTTAGCTCAGCAATGGCATCATTAATATCCTCTCATATATTCTCACGTACCTTCCTCTCTTGTACTTTTGCTTTTGTTCTTTTCAGACAATTTTTCTTAAGCCCTACATCAATCCTAGCTTCACTCAAATTCCAACAACACTCATCTTCATGAAATCAAATTACCCAAATCCTAAAATCTATTGATTAATTACAAATTGGTTGGACTTCCCGATACAAATATGGTAAACATTTACCTAAAATATGACATCAAATTACCCATATTGTTATTCTCTTGGAACTCATCTCACAGCCTGCATGACAACTCGATCAACTGGTTGCAGGGTGAAATTTATCCTAAAGGCAGAATCTTTTTGTCACAAGAAAACTTGTGATTTATTTTAGAATATCTTATCAACTACAAATTGCGATTTATTTAAACCACAAGTGTGGATGCCAAAGTATGGCAGAATCTCCCATAGGGCTTCCTAGTTCCCACCTCAAGTCCCCTTAGAAGACAACAATAGTCAATCCCATCATGTGAATGGATCCTAATATCTAATCCTTGCCTACCTCTACCCATGCAACCATTGAACCCAAACCTGCACTGTTCTTTAACAAAACAACAATAAATTTTTAATACCGAGTATATTATTATTATATTCATACTAGCATAACGTAGAACCAATCTCAGAGACATAGAATAATAGAAAAATGGATATACATAATACATTATACATCACACACAAAAAATGACCAAAATATACCCACCAAACTGACAGCCTGCCACTGCATCTTCTTAGAAAACGATTGGCAATTGCATTGTGGTTTGTACCAAAGCCGACCACCTCTTTACTCCCCTGTTTAACCTTTGTTGTCATCCACTCATGCAGGGCAATCTCCACCGTTGATTTAAAAGAGGATATATAATCAACGGTTCAGATCGATACCAATTTGTCTTCCCTCCTTCCGGGAACACTCCCCTATCTCCCTCCTATTAATAATGCATCTTTCTGCCAGCAATTCAACCCAAGATTGTCCTTTGAGAGAAACCCATTGCTAAAAACCCAATCCACAACCCAACCATTCAAGAAAATGGCGGATACGAGAAGAAATGAGTTCCAAGATATGCTGCCGGTGATGGCTGATAAACTGGGCGGCGAAGGGCTGATCAGAGAGCTGTGTAATGGGTTCCGGCTGCTGATGGACAGGGAGAAAGAGGTGATAACGTTTGAGAGCTTGAAGAAGAACTCTGCGCTTTTAGGGCTGCAAGATTTGAGAGATGATGAGCTTCGGAGCATGGTGAGAGAAGGGGACATGGACGGCGATGGAGCTCTGGATCAGATGGAGTTCTGTGTGCTCATGTTCAGATTGAGCCCTGAGTTGATGCACGAGTCTGAAGCCTTGCTTGAAAGACTTCTGCAACAAGATCTCAACACTGCTGATTCTTGGTTTCGTAGCAATTAAGGAACTTTAATTTGCTTCTTTCTGTCATCAAAACATGTTTTTTCCTTCTTCTTCTTCTTTTATCCATTCAATTCTCCACTGGGTTTTGCAATTCCGAAGGAATGAATGAATTACTGTACTATAAGAATTGGGTATTTGAATTTCTTGCCCGAATACTGACATCGTTAATCAACCCATCATTTATGTACAATTTTTAATTTCCATTTTTTTTAAAAATTTTGTTGGGATTATGAATTTATGATTCATGAACCTTAATATTTTGTCTTGTGAATATGGTTCGGAGGTTTCCTAATAAAATATGACGGCTGATCTCAGTCTTGTGTTGATGCCCCTGCTTCTCGGCTATCTAGTTGGCGAATGGCGAGCACAGAAAAATATATTAAAAGAATGAAACATAAAAAAAATATGTCGGCAAATACAACTATAGAAATTGGAAATTAATCTGGATACAACCAAATAAAATAATAAAAAAATGGAAAACAGTACTTTCAGTCTTTTACCTTATCTTCTACGATTCTTTCAAACAATAGAAACACGTTTGACATTAAAAAATATTTATAAATTAAAAAGTATTAAATGTGTTAAAATGTATTATTATTAATAACTTTTTCCATCATAAAAATTTTATATTTGTAGAGAAAAAAGAAATTCATTTTTTTTAAACGATAAAGTTATTACAATTATGATGATAGTCAGTCTTATTTTATTTTTATAATCATATTTTTATGAGACTATAGCACTGGCCCAATATCTATAAATTTAAAGTACTGAAAGGCAGATTGAAAGTTGTGGGCCCAAAAGGAACATGGATACAGAGCCCATTCTAACAGGCCGTGAAATGGGAATATATAGATTGGGCACTAAGAGAGTAAGAAGAGTTGGAGAAGACTATAACTTGTCCGATTGACAATTGTTATGCCATGTACCCGGGTTCATCTTACAATTCAGGTCCAAAACGACACAATTTTGTGTGTTTGGAATAACGGTGTCGTTAGTGATATCGTTTTTTTAGCAAATTATATATTTTTTTGTGAATATAGAGTTCAAAAATTATGAATATAGATTCAAAAATTGTGTCATACTGTTGAATATAGAGTTCTGTTACTGTGAATATAGAATTATGAAATCATGAATATAGAGTTATGTAATTGTGAATATAGAATTATGAAATTATGAATATAGAGTTACGAAATTGTGAATATAGAGTCCAAAAATTGTGAATATAGAGTTCTGCAATTATTAATATTGAGTTCTGTAATTTTGTATATTGAGATCTAAAATTGTGAATATAGAAGAACGAATTCTGAAAACAAATGGCAAGTTAATGGCAAGGAAGGAAATAATTTTTTTCTTTTCTAAATTCAAACGGCGTTTTAAAGTAAAACGACGTTGTTCTAGACCCGGGTCACAGCATAATTTGCATCCGATTGATGGCAAATCTTAATATTTAGAGTACAAATAATATTTGTATGAGCATGTATCAAATTCTTTCATAACAGTGATTTTCTCAAAAAAAAAAATATCAAATAACCCATTAAACTACTTGCTTTTGTTTAATTGGGTCACTAAATTTAAAAAATATTAATTGAATCATCAAAAAGCAAAATACATACAATTGAGACATTTTTTTGTTAAAAGAAATCGATAAACTCCAATCATATTATGGTATATACTAAGAGTTTCATTTTCCTCTGCCATATACTGGTTATTGGGAGTAAAGATTGAAATGTTTTTAAGAGATATAAATATCCGGTGAATAATATATGGAAGGGAGTGTAAAATATTGATTGGTGAATGGAGGATATCAAGCTAACAGCGTAATTATTGATATAGCACGTCTTTAAAAAAAAAAAAAAAAAAAAAAAAAAAAAAAAAAAAAAAAAAAGCTACCTTATTGGCAATTTATTGATTAAATAATTATTCCCACACAAAACTGGGTCAGACAACAAAACACAGATATATATATTGCCCATGCAGACTACGTGTCACAAAGGTAAAAGGTGAATACAGAAAAGTTCATTGACGTAGATGTTAAAGTTCATTGTTTGGCAGAGGAGGTGCAAGAAATGATGGGCAAAAAGTTTCCACTGTACACCTACACCCATATATATTAAGTCAAGTTACTTTTGATTTTTTTTTTTTTTTTTTTTTGTTTTAAATCTTTATATTTATTACTCCGTACTTAACATAAACTTTTATTTTTTAATATAAGAGAAAGAAAAATAAATACATAATTTCACAAATTTAAGTATAATAATACTCATAATGTTAACAAATAAAAACAAACTCAAATTTATTCTTCCCCTGCCCTTGTTAGTAGACTCTGAAGATTTAGCTTGTAAGTCAGAAATAAAATAATGATTGATTATAGTGCGCCACTATCTTATCTATGCAAACCTGATTCGTATGTAACCATAAGTAACGATTCATATCTTTTATTTAAATTGATGTTAAATAAAAGACAAGTGAAAAAGAGAACACCTGAATAATAATAATAATAATAATGATAATGGTGTTAGGCATACTGCATGATGATTTTGTAATGAACACATGACATGATATACGAGTAGTCTATTTCTTTGGTTACTTTAGTGATGGATGGATCATAAGTTCAGATCAGACATTTGATATTCATGAACTTGAAATAATAAGCAATTTCAGAACAGGCCCACACTACACTACACTACACGTACTACTACACTTTGGCCTTATGTTGTGTTTCTTTTAGTAATTTATACTTATTAGTTACTATTTATATTGTTAGTCATATGGATCCATCATTAGCTTTAATAGCTAATGGCTTCACTAATGCAAACTCTTAGCTTTATGTAACTTAATTAATTACGATGGACAGAGGATAAGGTGATGATCAAACATATTAAAACGGTTTGTAACAATTAGTGAGTAATTTTTTATTATACTATTCTAGTTTGACTGAACTAATCTTAAGTCTATAGGACCACGCCCTAGAATCACTATAAAAATAAATCACGGGTCCCGCATCAGTCCACCGGTTAGACCCGATCGAGTCTTTATGCATGCATAAGAGATCCAATAGTCCACAGTACACCTTTCATTATTTTGAACCTTTTTCCCATTCATGTTTTCAGTGGGATTCAAAGTCCTACACAGTCGCCTTCCGTTGTGACATCAAGTCAGGCGATGAATCATTACGCTAAGTCCCGAGGGATCCCAATCAAGTTAGTCCATCTATTGACTTGGTAGTTACAAGAGTACAAGTTCGTCTCTTAGTAGAAGTAATCTATTAATTTTCTTAATTTGAGTTTATCAGCTATGAACAACCTAAATGGATTTAATTTATTATAATCCTTTGCCGACTATAGTCATAAAACGAAATTTATACAATACACATCTTCATTTCACTAATTACTCAAAAAAAAATAAAATTTATATGGGTTGACCAGACGTCATGGATTGAAGTGTATTGGAGCGAGTTTCTAGGCTGAGCTTAGGTTGCTTTTTGCATGATGTACTTCACATTCTCACCAAGCACAAAGAACCCATTCGTCCTCACTTTAGCACATCTGAAAATTAAACATCCAAACCATATAATATAATATATCAATTTACACTAACAACAAAGCAAAATGGTCAACTGACATCCAATTCATAGACAACCAGCAAGAATGAAGTAATGTTCCCAGTTCTAGGGATAATTTTGTTTAGTACTTGGGATTCGCGCATCCCCCCTTTCTCTCCTCCCACTGCAGTTTTTGTTTTTGTTTTTTGTTTTTTGTTTTTTTTTTGTTTTTTGTTTTTTTTTTCCCTAAGCTGTATGGTTGTCAGTCTGCTGAGAGTGGGAATGCTTCTTATAATTTTGCAGATAAACTTCATGGTGGGCTGTATTACTTTAATTTTAGTTTGCATAAGATCACAATAAAGTATTTATATAAAAATTATTTTGTAAAATATTTTAGATTATACATAACTGATGACTGGCTCAGATTTATCTATAACTAGCGCACCCCACTACAAATTTAGTTGATTTTAATTGGTGAGCATTAAAATATCAATATTTTGTGATAAGAAGAAAGAAAGAAAGAAACTACGATCAATTACTGTGTGCTGGAAAGGTTGCCCTACCATTCATTATGTCTTGTGGTCCTGGATCTGAGGTGCATTTAAGTTTTGATTCTTGAAGTTTCAACAATAAAACTCAAGATTTCATGTTTTGGAGACTGTTGACGAGGTTTAATTTTTAAAGAAAATAATATTAATACGAGGAATACATACATATATATAACATAGATTATTGTTTTTGAAGGGGATGGATGGGGTCTAGTGCGTATTTAATTTGTATTGATGAGTTTATAGAATGAAGAAGTAGGAAAAGGATGTAGTAGTGGAGCAGTGACGAGGTTTAGTGGGCAAACAAAAAGCAACAACGTCGACATCGGAGGAGACAACCGCCGGAGAAGTTGGAAGTGGACCCTCAGCTCTGTTATGTGGACTGCCCTCTTCGATCACTGCATATTCACATTCAAATATATTCAAAAAATTGTTCAAAACAACTTTTTAATTAGGTTTTTGAAAATAAAAATTATACCAAACAGCTATCAGCTAATTTATAAAACACTTTTCTACAATCAACTAATGTTATCAATTGGTCATACCCTTTAACTCAAGTAGCTAACAGCCATTTACCAAACATGGCCTAAATGAAAAAGAGATATTCAGTCATTACAATTATTGATACTGATACATTTCTTGCCAAGGGCTAACCCCAGCTTCGCACGTACGTGTGATGGCTTCATTCTTTAAGATCGATGATGTTGTCATTGTCTAATAAGGTTATAGTGCGTGCTCATGTTGGGTGATAATGGAAATGTTATTTGAGTATATGTAGCTATCTATCATCCAACATTAGAGATTACTTTCATCAACGTGTGTGATAGGGTATACATACATAATGTTGATATGATGCTGATAGTAATCCGGGTGGCCGGGAGGCCAAGTTGCATGGCAGGTCACTTAAATAGAGATAGTGCATCAAGTGGCGGGATAGACAGCTCTCATGGGGAGGTAAACTTCATGATTATCAAGTCAACTGTCTGACCATCTTAGCCAACTTGGTGACGATTGTTCCCAACATCTTGGTCCCACAAGATAGTAACCAATTGTCCGACCAACTTGGTTAGATCAGAGTTGCCCTGGCCTTGTCGCAATGGAACTCGACACATTGCTACTGT